TACAAAAGATTTAAAAATGATTAAAAAAATTTAAATAACAACAAAAAAATGTTATTGTGATTAAAAAATGTAAGGAAGGGGAGAGAGAAAATGAATAGGAAAGAGGGAAATTGGTGGATCCCAGGAAAGGTGAAATAAGTAGAAAGAGCAGAACAAGGAGAGGGTGGTGGTGAAGGTCATGCAGAAACCAACCTGAACAAGTGAGTTTCAGGTGCTTTTTTAATGGAGACCACTGAGTCCACTGATCTCAGGCTCAGGGTGAGAGAGGTCCAGAGTCTGGGGGCAACAGCAGCAGCTGATCTGTCACCTTTGGTCTTTAGCCTGGTGCTGCACAACCAGTAGGCTTTGATCACTGGACCTCAGGCACCTGCTGATAGGGATGGGTACCTTTGACATTTGAATCGATCCGGTACTAATTCCCGGTACCTACGAATCGACACCAGTACTTAACGGTACCAATTTTCGATACTTTTGAGTGTTTAATATTTTTAATTCTCTTTTATAATTAAATATATATTTTTCTCAATATATAACCATATTTGATAAATATCACAATAAATAGCATACAACTGTTTGTATTTTAACATCGTCCTTGTAGTTTTATAAGTTGATAATTAAACTGAAGCAAACATCTTTACTGTGAACTAAATTTACTGCGTATCTTCATTCCTTTTACCGTCTTTTTTCATTTGATTTTTCCTACTGGGAAGTTAGAATTTCCGAGGAGAAAGCGAACGCACCATTAGCTGATAACAATGGTAGCAATGGAAGCTAACATATCAAGCTAACGTTATCTTAAACAGTTTATTTAACTGCTGGAGCAGTTTTAAATGATTATGCCTCACACTTAGATCGTTGTCGCTGGTTTCATCTTCACCCAATCATCCGTCGCATTTAGTAAAGTGAAGCCAAACTTTAGAGCGCGTTCATGTTCTTCTAGTCGGGAATTCGGAGATCTGAGGAGAAAGCGAATGCACCATTAGCGAAACGGAAGCTAACAAATCAAGCTAACGTTATCTTAAACTTTTTATTTACCTACCAGAGCTGCTCTGTTTACAACTCGCTCGCAGCGACTGATGACATAACGCTCTTGCGCGTGCGCAGCTGTCTAGGCAAGTTCTCGTTGTGAAGGACGGGTACCGAAACGAGGCACCGTTTCAAATGAAGTGAATCGGTGTTCGGTCGGTACTGTGGAATTCGGTCGGTACCTTAAAAAGTACCGAATTTGGTACCCATCCCTACCTGCTGATCAGCAACTTGCTCTTTAAAATCAAGACTGCACTAGAGAGTGCTGAACAGCAGAACAACACAAAACATCACACCTGTGACAATGAATATAAAACACTGAAAACAGTAAACATTCTATAAAATACAATAAAAACATAAAGCTCTGCTTGAGTCGCATGCCTGTGCATTGAAGGTTCTTGTAGATCTTATATGAAGGGGTAGACTAGGGGCAGAATCACTCCGACGTCGACAGAAGCATCACCTAATTCTTCCTGAACTGAGATGAAGTATTTACTTGTTATGAACGAACCAGAACTTTAAATAACACAATAAAGTCAGTTCTGTGAAATGATGTTAAACGGTAACCGATTTCTCTCAAATAGGATGACTATACTGTTTTAATGACAATCAGATAAAACTATCTTATCCATGTGAGTAGTCCAACAGAATCTACTGAGTTTACTTTTACAATCGAATCTATAAAGCAGCTGAACCATATTTATTTTCTCCTAAAATTGGAGCCTAAAGGCAGAAAAGAAATTGCACCAACATGTGAAAGCAGCATATATTATAAACCAGGAATAAATTATAAATTACCGCACAAGCTACAAATCACAGGACAATTGGAATGATGAATCTTCAGGCTAAGTCTTGATTGGGAAACTGGTTAATCAACCAGAGATTCACAGAAGAGAGACAGGAAACAGCAGATCAGCACGCTGATCTGAGATCAGACACGTCTGGCTGTTTTTAGTCCAGCTTTAATATAATTCTTAGTTACGTGTGTTCAAATTTCCCGTTTTTGGTTTCTTCAGAGATTTTTGTGTGGGCTCAGCCGTGAACAATCATCCTCAAAGTTCCTCATGGTCTAGTGCCTTGCTGACGGCACTTTGGCAGAGCTGGTGGGAGCCAGATGTGAAACAGCTGGATTACATGTGGCACATGTTTCCCCTTAAGCTGCTTCAGAATGTCATTACCCTCTGTCTGGGATGAAAATAACTAAAAATAAGCTCACGGGTTATTTTCAGATTATGTGTGATTTGTGATTTTGTTGGCTTAAGATTTGTGTGCTTGTACTGACACTGACTACATAATTTAACATACAAAAACAAGATTTAACATGAACACGTGAATGTAATGAACTAATACAAGTTAGAACAAAGCAGCAACTTCCTACAAAAACATCTCTTTTAGTCTGACTTTGAACTCACAGTTGCTCCAGCTGGCTCACATCCATAGAAGAAGATCAGTTAATTAAAGTTCAGGAATAAAACCGTCTGTGAGTCACCGAACTACATGTCTGTGTAAAGTGAATCACTGGGTTATAGTAAAATATTGTAAAAGTTCAATGCAGTCAAAGTACTTTGTCAAGTAAAATTGTTTAGGAAAGATGCACAAGTAAATGTAACTGAGTAAATGTAACTAGTAACTAATCACATCTGTGTGGTATCACTACTTTCTGGAGTTCCTCAAGGTTTTGTCCTGGGTCTGTTCCTGTTCTTGGACTCCCGATGGAGGAAGTTATATCCTTTCCGTCTTTACCCACAGCTCATGGCAGATGAGGATTGGGATGAGGATCGCCCAGTAGAGTGAGAGCTATGCTTTCTGGCTTAGCTCCTTCTTCACCACAACAGGTCATTAGTGATGCAGTCACTGAACCGATCCGCCAGTTGATCCCGCTGTTCTGGTGAAGAACCATGCTCTTCGATTTGGAGGTGCTGATTCAACATTTGCAGGAGGAACCTGATGAGTGGCAGACCAGGGTGAAGGCTTTGGCAGTCGCATTATTAAATCATCATTTCATGACGGAAGCATTTCTGGAATAATGTGACAGCATGTTTGGCTCTTTATCTCCCGGTTCATTCATGTTTTACTTTATTTTTTTATAGGCAAACATTATTAGTAATATTGTCACGGTGAGAGCAAGGAGGAGATTGTTAGGACCCAAAATGCAGTACCCAGGATGACAGAGATGGTGAATAAGAAAAAATCCTTTATTCTAAGGAGAACAAAAATAAGTCCAAAGGCTGGGAGCCAAAATCCAAAATCCTGATACCGATCTGGAAAACCAAAACTCTAGAGAACACGAGAAGACCAAAAACCCCAATAATCCAAGACGAGACTGACAGAATTACAAACAATGGACCGACACCAAACAGAGACAAGACAGGGCTTAAATACACAGGGAGAACAATTAAGGAAACAGGAAGCAGGTGTGTGGAGCGAGGGCTGGAGGGAAGGCAGGTGACACAAATTCTCTAAATGGGGGAAACAACCAATGGAGGGCAGATAACCTTAAACCTAAAACTAAACCTAAGACTGAGGGAAGGACTCACACAAACTCATACACACATACCATGAAATGAGGACCAAGAGGCTGGAGCTACAGAACGTGCAGGAAGACCCGGAGGGCTGGGGATGAATGAATGACACAGGACCTGGGAGGGATTGACTTTAAAGCCTACAACATGACACCTAACTGAGACGCAGACAAAGGACACATGAGGGCGCTAAGAGACACAAAAGGGAATCTAGAGAGGGATGGAGAACACCAGGAGGCACATGAAGGAAGGGGCAGACGCAGACCATGACAAATATAGAAAAACATGTTTATATATATATATTTTTTTTTTTTACTTTTGACAGTGAAACAACTCTATTCTCTCAAACACAAACAGAAGAGATGAATTTAATTATGATTCTGTATAAAAGTCACAACACTTCATAAAACGGGGTGGCTAACAGTAACATTTCCTTTATTACAAGGTCCCAGGACTGCTGACATATGGTTATATGTTTAATGCCACTGGAAAAATTCCACACATAGTCCATGTTTCTGGACCTCATGAAAACCAAAGATGTAACGGATGCTGACTCCACACCATTCCACAAGGCGCAATCAATCTTTCTTTGGTGTTTTTGGATTTCACAAAACTACCGTCAGAGCAGTCTTCACCTGACACACAGAGGGCAGGGAGCTCTGGCGCAAAAGCATCATCCTACCATCCTCACCCCGGAGCCGTGCATTTTACATGAACATGTAACCTACATCCATCTGGGCTTCCGTCAGCACACGTCCCTGGATGAGACACATTTCTTGAGCAGCCTTTTATAGTGTCCAGGAATGTGAAGGCTGGTGTTTAGTCGGTTTACACCCGATGTCAAAAGAGATCAGGGTCCTGCTGATTTGACTTTAAAATGTGCAATCTGCTTTTTAAACAGCAGCCGGGATGCTGAGGGCTATGGTAAAAGGCTGCTCAGAGTGTAGCCATTAAAATGTATGTTGGTACTATGCGCATGCAATGATGGAAATACAAACAGTCGTGGTACTTTATAAAAATACTAGAAGCAATATTTTATTCTATGTTGCAAGTCACGTTCATTTCAGAGGTTTGGTGCGATCAAACTGCTGCTTTGTGAAGAAAAGCGTGTCTAAGAAGAAAAACAGAAATGAAAACAGGCCTGTGAGACTCGGGTCAACGCAGCCCCTCTGATTAAGGTGACTTGGACGTGTTTATGTTGAGCTTTCAGAAAGCAGCATGAATCCAGCCAAGTGATGAGGACATTTTAATCACTGCACGACCGAGGGAGGAACACTCATGAATAATTTTGCTGTGCGCCGCATTCAACTGGCAGAATATTCATCGGCGCCGATCAGCTCTTAACTATGCTGTATTAAAGCTTCCTGTATGATTAATGCGTGTGTGTGTGTGTGTGTGTGTGTGTGTGTGTGTGTGTGTGTGTGTGTGTGTGTGTGTGTGTGTGTGTGTTAGATTCTCATCGGGGAAGTGACAAGCTTCTTTGTGAAGACGGAGGGAGCTCAGGAGAAGACCATAGTGACCGCTGACTGCTGTTATTTCAACCCTCTCCTTCGCAGGATCGTGCGGTTTCTGGGTCAGTCACAGTCCTGAGTAGATGCCATCTTTGAGTGTCAGTGTCATGAGGACCAATTTACCCTGCTCTTGCTTTTGCGTCGTACTCTTTTGATGCTTTCAGCATCTATAAGCCGAAGTCAGGGATCTTAAACAAAGGCTGTCTCTGTCTGACCTTTGACATCTACACAAACAAACACAACAAATCATTTTTGTCTTCCAATAATTTGTTTCCTTTATTTTTTCACTTGTTTTTTTTACATCCAGGTGTCTACTCCTTTGGTCTTTTCACCACCACCATCTTTGCCAATGCTGGCCAAGTGGTAACAGGAAACCAGACGCCTCACTTCCTGTCTGCCTGTAAGCCGAATTACACAGCTCTGGGCTGCCAGTCTCCGCTTCAGTACGTCACGGAGCATCGAGCCTGCACGGGAAACCCATACCTGGTCATGTCCGCCCGCAAATCCTTCCCCTCCAAAGATGCAGCGCTCAGCTTCTATTCAGCCATCTACACAGTGGTAGGAACTCTGTTTTCAGGGCTTTTGTTGAAGGGGGACAGAAAGGAGAACATACAAAAATATATAATTTATGTTGGTGGTCTGGGTTAAACAGTAATTTCTTGGCAATATCTTCCAAAAGCAGAACAACAACAAACACTTTGCCCATCATAGTGCAGCACATTTTAGTACATACATCTTATTGGAAAGTGTCCTGAATTGAACTAAAACGTACCAACCAAATTATTGTAAAAGTCTGTAGAAAAACATCAGAATGTCACACTATTCACTTCTCACTGAATACTCACTACTCATTATTCACAACTCACTACTCATTACTTATTACTTGTTACTCACTACTCAAATCTTGTTACTAATTACATACTACTCACTACTCTCGTTATTGCTCAATACTCAATAATCACAACTCCTTAATCACTACTCACTACTCATTATGCATTACTTGTTACTCACTACTCAAACTTTGTCACTCCATGATTACGTACTACTTACTACTCATTATACACTACTCTCTAATCATTACTCAGTACTCATTTTTCACTACTCGTTATTCGCCACTCATTAATCACTACTCATAAGGAATTCCTCATTACTCACTACTTGATACTCATTACTTATTACTCACAAGTTACTTAGTACTCACTACTCATTATACACTTTTTGCTAATCATTAGTCAATACTCATTAATCACTACTCACTACCATTACTTATTACTTGTTACTCACTACTCAAACCTTGTTACTCACTGATTACGTACTGCTCACTACTCATTATACACCACTGTCTAATTATTAGTCAATACTCATTAATCACTACTCACTACCCATTACTTATTACTTGTTACTCACTACTCAAACCTTGTGACTCACTAGTTACGTACTGCTCACTACTCACCACTCACTATACAACACTCTCTAATCATTACTCAGTCCTCTTTATTCACAACTCGTAACTCACCACTCAGTAATCACAGCTTGTTAATCAAAACTCACTATTCATTACTTATTACTTGTTATCCACTACTCAAACCTTGTTACTTACTGATTACGTACTACTCAATACTCATTATACACTACTTTCTAATCATTACTTGGTACTCATTACTTACTTATAACTACACATTACTCACTACTCATTACTCCTCACTCACTACTCACTCAATACTCACTACTATTAATGAATACTCATGACTTATTACTCAATATTCATTACTGACCACTCAATACAAATTATACACTAGTCATTATTTATTTACACTAATCTTTACTCAGTACTCATTACGTACAAATAATTAAACATTATTTACTACAAATTAATCAATATGCACTACTCACTCATTACTTGTCACGCACTACTCATTAATCAGTACCCATTGCTCATTACTTACTAATAAATACTTATTAATCATTTTACTCGTTTTACTCATTTTGCATTACCCACTGCTCAATACTCACTACTTACTCAATAATCATTACTCACTCACTACTCATTATATATCAATCAGTACTCATTGCTCATTACTTACTAATAAATACTTATTAATCATTTTACTCGTTTTACTCATTTTGCATTACCCACTGCTCAATACTCACTACTTACTCAATAATCATTACTCACTCTACTCATTTCTTACTGCTGATTACTCATATTTCGCCAGTTCTATTCCCCGTTTCTGCAGTAATTAATTACTTATATTTTAGTTTTATTGATTATTTTCTTCTAAATATTTTATGTCTTTAAAGATTTTTGAATTTGCTCCTTTTTAAGCAGCATTTAAGTTGCAATGCTCTGGATGGGACGCAGAAGTCCCAATGATCTACTCTGCTCATCTCGTATGGGCTTCTGCTGGCTAAATAAACAAAGAAAGTAAAAAAAAAACTTGTTCTTATATTTAAAACATTTTAGTAACAAAGGGTTGAAAACATAGCACTGGTAAGTGTAGCTAACAAAGAAGAAAATAAATTACAGCTGAGACCGGAAATCAAACCAGTGTGAGACCATAGCAAATAGATGCAAAGTGGGTGCTTTATCCACTAATCCACCACACCTATTACAAAAGTTTAGTTGCCCATAACACATATTTTGTGCTGGCCATTATGTGTGTTTTGTGGACAAGAGGCATGGTTTTACTATGGTATTTTGTCCCCAACACAGAAGTAATTTGTCAGAATACCCACTCTGCTGGTGGAGGTTTTTAAAGCAAGCATCTGTTGAATGATGATCAGACTGAAACAATCTCAACTGCAGTGATGAAATCAACCGCTCTATACTCACAAGTCAGTGAAAGTGGTCACTAGTGGTCTACCTCCAAAGGAGGCAGGTTTTAGATTTTAGAATAGGTCCAGGAGGGGGAGCTGGCTGTCATGTTTGGGTCTGGGATGGTGGGATGCTTTGCTCAGCGTTGGGAGGGGGTGCCTGCTCATCACCCCCAGCAGAAAGGGGTGAACTCTGGGAACCGGTGATGGTTGTACTCCTTGTGCAGCAGTACCGGGACCAGAGTGAATAGGGTGTGTCTGTGGAGCATGAGTGGGTGTCTAGCGTTCGTTTTTGTAAGTCTTAGGTTGTGTGTGCATGTGTGAGCATGAGGGAGGGAGTGTGTCACTGTGTCTGTGTGATGTTTTATATGTCAGGTGGGGTCTTGGACTCCCCCCCTCTCCTCGGACCTCTTGTGCTGCTACACATCTTCGCCTACCCTCCCCCTGCCACATTTGGTGTGGAGTGGGGTGCCTTGGTCTGCCTGAGTGTTCACGGCTCCCTGGTCAGGGGGTTTAAGGTTTTTGGAGTCTGCCTGATTAATCCCGGTGGGTGCCTGGTGGGGTCTGAGTCCCTGGGCTCTGTTGGGTCCCCAGTGGGGCTGGTCGCCCCTGGGTCCCGGGTCGCTGGGTTCCGGGCTTGGCCGCTAGGGGGTGGGAGGCTGCAGGCGGGCCTGTGGGCTTGCCGCTGATATCTCGCGGTACTCTGCCGGTGTGGGTACAAGATCTGCTCGGGTGCAAAATTGGCTCGGGGTCCGTCGACTGCCGATGATGTTTAAGTAGTTGATTGGCTGAACATGAACCTTACGGAATTACGTAATCAGGTTATGTTGTTATCACGTTACGTTGGTCCAGGCAAATCTTTCTGTTGGAAAGATGGACAACTTTTACAAAGAATTCCATCATTACCTCTTTGAAAATACACTTTTAGCATAGAGTTGCATGTATATTAGGGCTGAACGATTAACTGCATGTGCAATTAAATTGCGATGTGACAAAAGGAGATTTTCTAATCGCAAAGGCTGCAATTTGGCAGCGAGTGGTTAGCGCAATGCTAATATACGTGGAAAACCCCATAGGAATGCTAATGCTAATATCACCGATTACATTCTTACAAATTATGAATTAGAAACTTGCCAAATGATTACATTTGGAGTCTAATAGAAAGTAAAACTACCATCAATCAAATAAGTACAGACAGGTATTTTAGTAAAGCCAGAAAACTTTTAACTCCAGAGTTTTGGCTAGCAGCTATGAGCGTAACTGAACTACGCATGGACAAGATGTCAAAAACTCTAAACACAAAATACTTCAATAAACGGGACACACTTTTTTCCTGCAAATACAATTTCACAGGTGTTGCTAATACCTATGATCCTTCAAGGGATGTGCTCAAAGAGGAGTTCAACATTATGAATAAAATATAGTGTTTTATTTTACAAATACCATTATAAACACAAACTTACGTCTTAAGAAACATTATTTTAATAACGAAACTGCTAAATTCTTTCCAACAGTATAGATGTGTAGTATATTTTGTCCGAGTGGGTTTGCCGTACTTTGACGTCATCGGCAGTCGAAGGACCCCGAGCCGAATTTGCACCCGAGTAGATCTTGTACCGACACCGGCTGCTGGTTGTGGCCCACCGGGGCAATCCTCTGTGCCTCTCGAGAAGGGGCTGGGGCTTTTCTGGTTACAGTCTCCCTGGGGTCCCTGCGCTCTGGGGCAGCTCCTGGATCTCTGGGACTTGGAGCTCCCTCCATCTCCTACACATCTTTGGGGGACAGATCTGTGGCCCCTCACGCTCTCTGTTGGATGCTCCTATAGAGAAACCTTACATATACAAGTGCGTGTACACACACAGATGCTCACATGGTGCTCTCATAAGTATGGACTTGGGCATTTTCAACACATGTCTTAAGGCTGTGGCTGGCACTAAATGCACTGTGATTTATTATCGTGTGATTGTTCAGTAAAACAATGTTGATTTTATATTTCCCCATCAGGTTGATGCAGTGATAGTTTGTTCTAGTTGTATTGTTGTGTGTCTCCTTCTTTTGTTTATATTTTTGGTTTGTTTTTCTCTTTCTGCAGGTCTAGAAGCAAACGTTTGCTGTCTGGCTGAAGTTATAAAGCATTCAAAAAACAATAACAATAAAGTTTTAAGTATCAGGCGTGACATTAAAAGCAGAAGCTTTGATGCTCCACCTGAGAGTAAATCTGTAAGGCTTGTCACCAGCATTCAGACATTAATTCTGTTTGCTTCACAACCAGACAGGACACGGGAGAAAAATAAATAAATTTGCTCTTTGTGGAGGAGAAGGGCCTGATGGTTCCATCATCGTGTCCACAGGTCCTAACTCAGATCCAACTGGCCAAAGGTCAAAGGCCAAAGGTCCCATGATATGGCCTCTATGGAACCCTAAGTACCTAATGCATGTATTAGTTTTACAGCCAACTATCAATACCTTAAGATTTATCATTGCAAATGTGTGCAGAAACATTTAAATTAAAATAAATATAAAATACCCACCAGTCACTTATGATCTGCTGAATTCTACGTGTTTTAGTTGTCTAGTGTTTTTTGTTCCAGCCATTTTAAAAAGCATTGAACCAATTCTTTGGAGTTGCAATAGTGTGCAGCAAATTTGTTGTACGTTGTGTCCTTTTGTGACTTGATTAAGTGGCTCTCTTGTTAAACTGGTATATCTAGTTTGCATCGTCTAGGCTGACTAGACCCACCAACCCCTCCTATCAGATTTTAGCTTTTTATTAGAATTTTCTCTTCCGATTTTGTTCTGTCTTCCAGATGTACGTGACCTTGGTGTTCCGGACCAAAGGGACCCGGCTGATGAAGCCCACCCTATGCTTCGTGCTGCTGTCTCTAGCTGTGCTGGTCGGGGTCGTGCGAGTGACTGAACACAGGAATCACTGGAACGACATCCTGGCTGGATTTGTCACAGGAGGGGCCATCGCTGCGTTCCTGGTGAGAGGACTGAGGGTAACTGGGACAGTGCTTAAGGTTCCATCTTGAATCTGCAGATGCAGCTAAATTCTAGAGGTTTGCACAGAAGGAGGTGTGTAAAATCACACTAGTAGGCTGCTGTCTGAGGGCGTCTGGGGAAGAAAGGTGGACTGACCATATAACTGTCTGTGCAAATGTCAATAAATTCCTAAATGACTGCTCATTGCACGTCACCTTTCATGCCACAAATCCGGAAATGATGATCACATGATCAGCTTGTGCTTCCCCATTATTTTTGCAATGGAGGTGGCTCGACACATTCTAGCTTAATTTCTGAGAAGCTGACTAGATGAATTTTTATCATTTTTGTGTTTGATTTGGGCTGGTTGGCTGTGGCGGCCATCTTGAATTGGGTTGTCTCGAAAAGCTAGACGGTGTTAGATGTGCAACCAAAAATTACATTGTGAGAGATTCATGAAAATGTTTGGTTTTACCAGATAATTTACAAATCAGTTAAAAAGCACGGAAAAATGTTAAATGTGGCCTGACAATGTTCTCCAAGTAAAAATACAATTCAACACATATGTTGACATACATACATTTAGTTAGTTGCTAACAAAAACATGAAATAAAATATGACATTGTCAAGTAATTTCAAGCTGTGCCGCATCAGGTTTGCACCTTACAAGTGATCACCCAGTTATTGTTGCACCTAAGGTAATGTTAGTGTATTTATCATGGCCGCAAATTTTTTTTTTGGGGGGGGTGGGTGCATGTCCAACCCCCCCCCACCCCCCCCCACCCCACTTTTTCCAAAGTCAAGTTTTGACCCCTGCACTTTTTATCCATCCAAAAACAATATTACGCTATATTAAACTGACACCGATTGAGCTCTAGGACCAAGCGGAAAACAACTGTTTGTGTTGAAGCCTGTTTCCCATTAGAGCATACTGTAAAGATACCCCCCCCCCCCCCCCCCCCGTGTCGCCCCCACTTCTAAAGTAAAAATTACGTCCATGATATTTATAGGCGTTTCCTCTCTAAACTGCTGAATCTCAGGTTTAGAGTTTACATAAATCACATGTACTACTTATTACACCTATATTTGCAGGAGTTAAAAAACATGGCTTGCAATTTTCTCTAGTAGAGCTCTGCAAAAACTGCTGCAAAAACTTGAATGTCAGAAAGGACCCTAACCCTACCCCTGACCCAGTTGCAAAGACAGAAGTAAAAAATGGTCAGAATCAGTTTTAAGCCTTAAGAAATGTTACCGTAAAACAAATACATGTCAACCGTTTTCATAACTGACTGCATTATTAAAATCGACCCAGTTTAGCAGAACAAATGAGTACCATGCACAACAATTTTAGTTTTAAATGTGCGCATCACAGGTGGAGTGGAGGTGGAAACGTACTCTGACATAGAAAGAATATTTGTTCCACAAGTCTCAACCTGATGGATGTGAGTTTTTTGTTGAGTCTGTAGTATTACTGCAGGTTTTACTGTAATACTTTAATAAAATCAATTTGTTGGGTTACAATCGAGTTTTTAAAACATCTTATGTGACATGTATAGGATCAGGAAGCCAGGTGAACAGAACGTTTCCGTGGGATGTGCTGGATGATCAAGGCATGCAGGAGGCGTGTGACAGAGGACACACTCAAATCTCAGCCCTGGAAAAGCTCTGTAGTGATTTCTTTAATCCTCTTTGCTTGCTCTCCAACAGGTGTCATGTGTGATCAACAATTTCAAGGCGACTAAGCTAGCGGTACCAACTCCCCCACCTCCGCAACGCCCAGAGCCCCCCATCGGGATACCTCTCCTCAGCCTGCCACGTGTGGAGAGTCCACTCGAAAAGTTAAGTGGCATCCAGGTAAGGGGGCGGGCAACAGAAATGTGTGGGTGTTATTGTCGGTATGGCATGGGAAATGACTGCGGTGCTGTCTTTTATCATTCTCTTGTCCTTACTTGTATCTGAACAAAACCCCTGATTCTTCAGTCTCCTTGAATTTTTTAAGTTATCTTCTCCGTCAGCGAGTTTGCGCTCACGTTACTTCTCCGTTGATGTGTCAGTGTTGTGAAGCAATTCTCCACCAGGATAAAAGAGGGCGTAGCGCTTTTCTGGGGAATTCTGCCATCCTTGCAGTCATGACTCTAGTGTTTTTATGTATTTCAGAGAGTGTTTCTCAATGTCAAGGTGCCTGGCCTTGCGAGGCGATGTCTTGCAAGGCCAGGCGCCTTGCTTTCGAGGACACGGTCTTTCTTTGGGCGAAGAAAATAGTGAAATGAAACAGACTTGCATCACATGACCACGGCTTCCACGGCGGTCACGTAACGTCACGTATATTTTATGCGTATTACCCCGGCTTTCCACAGGAGCCGTCAGCAGCACGTTACTGCAGCAGCACGTCACAGCTGCTGATAGGACCCGCTGTGGTCAACAGAACCTTTTCCACTGGAGCCGTCAGCAGCGCGAGTCGGCCGCGTCTCAGCAGCAGCATGTCGCGGCCTTTACGCGCCGGTTCTATTTTCTACGAGCGACGCCTCTGAAACGGGTCAAGTTCGACATTTTTGGGGAAGGAAAGACAGGAAATCGGACACGGAAATGGAGAGAAGCTCCCGAGATTTTCAGAATAAAGAAACGTACTGCCTTCCGGTTGCTTTACTTTTAAAAAAGGTTACTAACTGTGCGTCCCCGTGAGAAGTTATCACCTAGCTAGCGGTCTCCTTTGTTTTTCAGGTCCGTATTGGCGATTATAAAACGTACAGAACATAAAACACAAACCTTTTGGAGCCATGTTGTAGTTTTCTCCTGCTTGTTGTTGTGTTTACTGACGAAGTCACTCGTGTGACTTCGTGCTCTGTCGGTGACAGCTGCTCCCCTGCTGCTTCGCATCTCGTGGGAAGGGCCAAGCAGCAGCTTACGCGAGTAAGACGTGCTGCTGACGGCTCCTGTGGAAAGCAGGGGTTAGTTTCAATATAAATATATAATGAGGCTTTTACTTTTTAAATTTTGTATATATTTGTTAAATTAAATATATAAGTGAGTTACTACCCGCTAGCCACCACCGAAGCTGCAACTACTAAGCAACTAACCAACCATCGATAACTTCTTTGGATCTAAAAAACACATTTTAAATTAGCTGACTTACTTTTAAACATGAAATTTGCCCCGGAGCAGCTGCCGGCTTCTGATCTGCCGTCATTTAGAAAATACTTTGGTCTATTCTGGGACATTTTGACCAAGCCTAGGCTAAAAGACACCACTCATGTATCCTCACTCAGCTAGCTAAACGGCTAACAAACGGAGAACACGCCTCGGTAGGACATGAACATTGGAACATGTCTTGGCGGCTCCTGATGAGGTATCTCCTAGGCAACCGGGGCGGGACCAAGACGTCAAGATGAGGTTCTTTGGCACTGAGAAACACCCAGAGACTTTGTCCCTCATTCTCCTCCACGTCTTCATGCAGTCACCTCCTCCAAACCCAAATCCACACCAAACTGCAGATGTTTTCTATCTCCTAAGGCGACACGTTAGCTATGCAAGCTAACGTGAAACCACGTGGCTATGGAAAATTGTATGATGCTTTGCTGTTGTTGTAATTGACGAAACAAAGCATCTTGATGTAGAGGAACTAGTTTAAATTAAAACTAATCCGTAATTATTACATTTGGAAATCTCTACCTCAGGATGAATGTAAAAAGTCACGTTTGTTTTGTCATAGGGTGAAATCGGATATTTTCCACACAGTTCTGATCATTTGAAAATCACGTGATCAGGCTTGATTTCTGATCATGTGATTGGATCGGAGCATCCCTGTGTTACGTGACTGTGCAAGATCATGAAATAAATATTACTTCCAAGATTTAACCCAATAACTAAACCATAGTTAAAACTCTGATCTCCGTTCCCTGATGAAGAACAAGGTCTTTCCTGATTTATTAAGTTTTACGCTCTCTTCTTTCTTCTCTCCTCTCGTCAGGCTCCAGGGCTACCGTATTCTGAGATCACATGACCATCAGCCAACCCCGCCCCCCGCCCTGCCCGATGTGCTCCTCCCCTCAAAGCATTGTCTCACCAGCTCAGTCTAGACCTGCCCACTGAACGCCCCGCCCCTTGCCCCGCCCACCCTGGAAAGCGCCAGCCCCTGCGACGAGTCAAATCCACCCAGGTGTGAGCGTTCACTAGTCCCAGAGGACAACTTCAGCTCATACTACAGGACACTGGGGGACAGAGACATGTCCTCAGCTATGCGAACCACTATGTCCTCCGAGGACATGTGGAAGACCCCAGTAAAAGACTCTTTAAAGCCGGAGCTGTTAAAGCAATACTGTGTCCTTGTATGGTTTTCTACAAAGATTCAACAGAGACTCTAGAGACTGTTGGCTGGTGATGACTTGATATTTCCAATCAAAATCAAAAATAATAAGGAACTCAGCTCAGCTGAGCATCCCAAGTGGATTTTCCTCTAAATAACTTTTGCTATTCTCAGGACAATCAAGTGGAAACAACAGAAAGACACAAACAACCACAGAAAAAGACCTTGATGTAATAATGCTGGTACACTGGAGTATCATGGTACAGGTTTTTTCTTCTGTACTCAGATGAAAGCGATGCCGTTGAAGAGGGGAAGCACTTTTGTAAATTATAGCACAGACGAACCCTTCTTATGCTCACTAAGCAATGTTGTATCCTTTCTATTCGTTCTGACTTGTGTGAAGTGATAGAAGAGAGATTTATACACACTAGAACTTTGCTTTTGGTGCCTCAGCTGTTTGGGGCCATCAGCTTTACTCGTTCCTGACACAAACAGAACCAGATTCTCACTCCTTCTCCTAGCGTATAACTCAGTGTTCAGGTGTGCGTTTTCATGTCTGTCGGTTTGATGTTCATGCTGTGAAAAATCTGGGAAAGTCAACGATTTCCCTTCCAGCCTACTAACACGTGGTTGCTTATTATCAGCTGACAGGTACAATACTCTGTTTTTCCCCATTTCTCTGAACCCGTGTACCAAATCCAGACGATTTTCGTATTTCCACACTCTGGGCTGCTGTCCGAATCCATAATGGGCCATTCCCATCTGTACCGGGTCGGCCCGGGCCGGGTAGCCCCAGTCGGCCCCAACCTGGCCCGGTTGATTCCACACATCCTTGCCTTAAGCCCATATGGGCTGGTTCTACCCACCAATCAGAGGCTTGCTCTAATGGAAGGTGTGAATTTGCTGTCAGCAGTGGGTGTGTTGGCCCTGGTCGGCCTGAAGCAGACCCCCTCGAGAAGAGGGCTGACAATGAGCCTTGGTTGGCCCGGAAAAATACCAGGCCACCCAGATATGTAAACAACCTACGCTACCCGGCCCGGGCCGACCCGGTACAGATGGGAATGGCCCAATGTGTCCGGTCCGAGCGTTCCCAGTTGAACGCTGCAGTTCCGGTGTTTTATTTTACATTAAATCAATCACAGACTGGTGTAAAACAGCAGTGAGACCTCTGATTTTTGTAAAGTTTTGTACAGGATTTCAGTTTATTTACACATTATATACGAACTTATGAGTATGATTAAGTTGTGTGAATGAAGCCGTCTGACAGGAACATAAAGAGATTCTTGTTGGCTCTAAAAGATTCTGCAGGTTCTGCTGGTTTAAAGAGAATGTTTAACCATGAAGATGTCGTACTGATGGTGTGTGTGTGTGTGTGTGTGTGTGTGTGTGTGTGTGTGTGTGTGTGTGTGTGTGTGTGTGTGTGTGTGTGTGTGTGTGTTTACAATGAGCACATTGGATGGCAGCACAACTGTTAATTTGGCAACCTCTTTGGGTTTTTAGGGTAAATTGTCAAGAGTAGCTGCTATGATTACACACGTGTGCTTGTTTGTAACTGCAGGCCTTAAAGGATCCCTGCCAAGGTGTCCTAAAAATGCTTGTTTGAGCAGAAGGTGCTCATTATAGCTCTGAGATTACCTACAGTATTTTTTCTTTCTAATTTGGGAGGATAAGAACAACTCTTCTGCCCAGACGTTATTTTTATGTTAAAGGTCTCTGTTTTGTATTTATTTATCAAAATAAATCACATTTACTGCACATTTCTCTGAGAAGTCTTGATGTGTGACATTTTTAATTTTCATTGCTGTTATTGATACTGTTTACACACAATAGCTCATCATCTTCGTAGCAACACTGCAGCTCCTCCTGTAGGACCAACAGCATTCCCGGTCTAAGACAAGGAATATGTTGTTCCCAAACCAGTCTCAGTCGGAGACTCCGGGCTAACTCTAACCCTGGTCAGCTTGGCTCAGAGACGAGGAAAAGGCCCGCCTGAGTCCGGTTAGCTCCAGGATTGATCTTGACTTCCTGGGTTTATTAAATTTAACTCGGAGAGAATTTATTTTCTTTAATCTTTTAAGACTTTTTAGTGTTATTTTCTCTACTCTAATGATAATGGGCTCAAATTCAATTGAAGTCCTGTCCGAATCTTACATGAAAAATCACATGCAAATACAAAAACAGACAGCAAAAACAAAAACAAAAATTGTATTTGGGATTTTTTTCATGATTGTTAAATAAATAAAATTTACATGTGTTTTAAATAAAACGTTTTGTCTATTAACACCAATGATGGCATAACTAAAGACACACTTATAACTCGCACCTTTCCAGCCTATGAAATA